CCCTCCTTCCCCGGCAGAGCATCTGGTGGATTTGAACCGTGCGCCTCTGGGATTGTAGTTGCAGCTCCTTGCCACTAGGCCACCAGAGCTCCCCTTGAACCCTCAGTTTTAAAAGCCCTAGTGGATTTTTTGGGTTTTGGTTTTTGTTTCTGGTTGGTTTTTGTTGTTTTTTCCCAGAAAGTTGGCTAGCAACTTTTGATGCCTGAGTGTTTGCCCTTCAGGTAGATTAATCAAGAATTCCAACCTCTTTCTGGTTTCAAAAGGAAAGGTACATTCTAAAATAGTTCATTTTTATTGCTATTATTTTTTTAATTTGCTTGCAATATTCTTAAGTAATCACATATAATTACAAAACTATAATGTTAGTATTTGGTGACATTTGAAGTAGCCTTTGGGGATTCAAATTATGCTTCAGTTTTAGAACTTAAATTGTTACCAGGAATGAATAGCTAGTTGCCTTCCATCTCAGCTAAATGTGTTCATCCCAACAGTGAACTACCGTGTCTCTGGCTCCCTTTCTTCCTTAGGGCTAGAAATCTTCCTTTGGATTAATCCAAGATACATACTTCCAAAATGCTAAAAATTTATCTTAGACTTGAGGCAATTTGGTAATTGTTTACTTTGTGTTATTGTCCAGACCAGTTGTAATTTCTGCCCCTTGTGAATTTTGCTGTTGGTCTGACACTAATCTTCAGGTCAGATCCTAAAATACTCTTTTCTTGGAGTAGCGTACACAGCTTTATCATATGAAATAGTGCCTCTTTTTCCTCAGCTGAGCTTTAAGACCTTTTCTGTAATAGTTCTTGGGGTCCTTATCATTTAAGTGTTTATTATCAAGGTCATGCATTTACATGGTTATGTAGGAAGAGTTCTCATAGTCTAAAAATAGGCACCAAAAATTAGTCCCACTCAAATATTCCCGAGTTGCCCTTCCCCAGGTAACGTTAGTGGAATATGTACACTTATCCCTGCAAATGGGATCAGTGAATTACAGGTCATTTCTCTGCTTAATGCTTGATGATACAATGCAAATATCATACAAATAGATATCAAGTCCTGGAAAAAAAAGATAAGATTTCATGAAATAAATTAAATGATATTGGAGAATTCCTTGAATCACAGTTGAATTTGGCTTTTGTTACATTGATAACAGAAGAAGTGCTTAAATAAGATAGGATGTTTTGAGGGTGGGAGTTTGGTTTTATTTGTTCTTATTAAAACCATTCACTATTCAACATGATAATAAATAGGCGTCCTGTGGTCTTTTTCTTTGTATTTATTTTTTCTTTTTGTTTTTTGAAAGGGGAGAGCAGGAGTGTAATGTCTATGTGTAGCATGTGAATATGTAATTGTAAAACTAACATGATTAATAGAAAAAAATATGGATTGTACAGAAAAGTATGTCACAGAAAGTTAAAATTACTTAAAACAATATACTACTAAAAATACGTTTACTATTTAACAATTCCCTTCTAGTCATATATTAGTCATACATAAGAAAGATCATAGTCTTTGTTTCTGGAGGTTTTTTTGAGGCTAAAATAATAAAGATAGATTTATTAGAAAGTTTACATCCCCAGAGAGACAGACCACCCTCCTTGAGGGCTTAGTGTTTTGTGTCCTGTTCTTTAAAGACATGCCTGAGCATTTTATTGATTGTTACATATTCTTTGAAAATAGTTTGTTAATGTCTGTGATTCACTGCTCAAATGCATTACTAGAAATGTATTTATAATTCTGGGCAAGAGCATCTTACATATACAGTTTAATAAATTTGTTTATAGAAATTTTGATCTCTAGCGTAACTTACTGAATTGCCCTGTAGGCCAGCAGTTTGAATTAAAAAAAAAAAAATAAGGTAAAATTTATATCACATAGATGTTAGGAGCATATTTGATTTATCTTTATAAATATATACCCCCTTGTAACTACCATTATCACCCCCTTAGATATGACACATCCTTCTGCACTGAATCAGCACCTCTGCTCAGGGAAGGGAAGGGCTCCAGGCAGTGTTTGTTCTGACTGGGAGCTTGCAAGGCTAATAGACACGTTAGCTTGGGCTCCGTTCACAGTCTTGTAGCTGGGAAACTTGGTCAGTCACCTAAGAAGACAGTACACCCATCACAGTCTCCTTTTCTCACTTTTCAGATGCAGAACTTTTTATACCACCAAAGATCAACAGAAGAACCCAGTGGAAACTGTGCCTTCTTGAGTGACTCTGAGCTCTCGCAGAGGACTTGAGCAGAGACTTCCTCGCCCATGCTGCTTTTCCTCCCAGCTCTCACTCTTTGGTGCCTGGTGGTCTAGCACTGGGAAGACAAAAAGACACGTCCTTAGGGTTGCTGGAGAACTGCTGTGTGAAGCGGACCACCGCAGCAGACACTAAGCATAGGAGTGGAGGGTGTGTGTGTGTGTGTGTGTGTGTGTGTGTGTGTGTGTGTGTGTGAGTGTGAGAGAGAGAGACAATGTTTTCATGACAACAAAATTCTAAGCCTCAGTAACATCATTTTGTAAGAATTACTTTTCTTTCATAGTGGTGTCTGAGAGACTAGTTTGTAGCAATCAGGTGATTGTTATTGTGGCCTGCACAAGTCATACAACTGATTCGTGCCTCACTACTTCTACCTCAACAGTGTGAAGGAAAGTAAGATAATGCTTCTAAATTGTTTGAAGTTCTTGGAGAAAAGCGTAACATGTTTTGAAATAACCTTTTCAGAAATGTTAGCTATCATTTTTATTGCTTGGCCAAATTTCAGTGGTTTCTTTACATTGAACTACAGTAGAATAAAAAGTTAAGGTAGTCTTTGACATTCTAAGCCTTCCTGTACTGGCAGCTGATACTTTGCAATATCTGACCAGGTCATGCACTTACAGTTAGTGCTGGGCTAAGCCCCTGTAGCTGCAGTTTCGTTAGAGACTATTTTGCTGGTTTTGTATTTTCTGCTAGAGAGAGAGCAATATTGGAACTGAAACAGATAATGAAATAGATCGTGCACGTTAGCTATAGATGAACAGTGTATGTGTGTGACCTGCTCACTAGTGAATTATTCTGCTCCAAATAGGTTTTTGCCAGTGTCTAAGCCATTTCATTTGGTTATGGTGCTTAGCTTTTGATTGGTTTCTTTCTCTATAGGACATTGTGTTTTCTTTGGAAGAAATGACATTTTCTTTTTTCTTTTCTTTTTGGTGGGTCTAGCAAAAGCCAGTTCATTTTTACATCAGGGTTATGACTGACCCTTGAGTAAGGTTGAAAATCTCTTCCTTAATTTAAAGACTAGAACCAGACTTCTATTATCAGACCTGTAATAATAGGAAATGCTGCTTTTGATCCCCAGAGTAGATATACCTGAATTATAATTTAAGAAAACTTTACCCAAAATAGGTAAATAAATATTTGCTGTAGAATCTAGAAGTATTCACTATATAATTATTTTTGCTTTTCTGTCTATCACAAAAATTTTACAATAAAATATTGAGGAAAACACAAGAAGAATATGTTGCTTTTTAATGAAACTCTTTGTGGTCTCATATTGATTTTAAGTTCTCAGCATTGAAAGGCAGTAAATCGTAACTATACTTTGTAAAGGGTAAATGAAATTGTTAACTTGTATAACATTTTAAATGTGATGTAGTACTCTTATTTTAAAATTGCAGTTGATTTATAGTAAAACAAATCTGGATAACAATACAAGGGTCTCATGTTGATGGATTGGAAATAGGACTACATGAGTCTTTTGATAATGGTTTGAATGTTCATGGGCATTCAGTTCCCTTAAAGTAATACATTGATGTGGCAAAACATTTCCATGTGAGTGCTGGTTGCTGTAATTACTATCTCTTCTTTTGGGGGAACCAGTTGGATGATTGATTTTGAAAGAAATCAGCAAGGAGCCGATCTTTCAAAATGAAGGCACAGGCAGGGAAGGATTGATAGCGAAATCAGATACTGTGTGGGGGCAAAGGGGAAGCTGTCCTGTGAATGATGCATGCTTAATTTAAGAAATAATCCTGTCAGGTGTTAGGAAAGATAATATAACTGTTCTCCAAAACATAAACTCTGTCCCAAAGCAGTTTCATGATATAGACATTCTTTCCTTGTTTCCATTAAGTAAAATGCTCCAGGCATCACAGTAAAATTTAGGAAATTGTCTGTATAAATCAAAATGGATTTATACCATTAGCTTATGCTTCTTTGAACTGAGGCAGGAACTCTCAGGTCTTTTAGTATGTTTTAGTCTATCTTCAATGCATACTTCCTTCGAAGCCAGGTCTAACAATACAATATTTCTTAGCATAGGAATCGGCACCACCCCCCATCATTACAATGGTCGAGCTAATTGTAGAGTTAATTTTGCCCAAGAAAAGGAGTTTTTAAGCAATCAACCTATAATGCCTGTCTTTTTCATTTCTCTTCTCTACTCATTTTGTTCTGGCAAATGCATGTAAAGTTCTTAACCTGACAGGAAACACGCACGTTGTGGAGGGGAACATGAGGGTTATTTAATAATGCAGGAGTAGCATGTGCTGGCTCAGCTCCCCACATGCAGGACAAGTGCTTGTCCAGCAAAGCCGACACATTTCACCCACAGCCAAAGAGTTCAGAAGCATCTTCTGTAGAGGAAGAAAGGGCCATGTTCCTGGTACTCACTGCGGTGGACCCACAGCGGTTGGAAACCTTGGAGTGAGGCAAGAATGGAGCCGCCAGTCCACACTGCAGTGTCTCTTTCTGGCAGTACATTGACCTGCGGCGAGTCATTGGGACACATGCTGCTCAGCTCCTTCTGCAGGCGGTTGGGGAAACCGCTGAGCATCGTGCTGCCCCCACACAGCAGAATGTTCCCCATGAGATCTCGTTTGAGAGCAACATCACACTTGTTCAGGCAGGCCACCGTCTGGGTGTGTAGCCCCAACTGCATGGACTTGATCAGAGAAGGCTTGAAGAACATCTCGGTGGACAGGAATCTCTCCTGGCACAGGCTAATCTCCTGCCCATCAGGCAGCGTGTACTGGACCATGTGCTCTGCAGGTGGTACTTTCTTCTCTTCAATAGGATCTAGGGCCACAAAGCAGCATTTCTTCTTGATGTCCTCCAGGATGCCCATGTGCTCCCCTGTGAAGGCCTTTCCTGAACTGTTCAGCAGGCTCATCAAGTAGTTTGTCAGATCAGAGCCTGCATAGTCCAACCTCCCGGTGATGCTGGGCAGAGGATAACCCTCATAGATGGGGACCACATATGACACACCATGACCAACCTCCACCACCAGACCAGAGGTCCTTCCGTATGAGTACATGGACAGGCGAGACTGGTAGGCTATATGCATAGCAGGTGTGTGGAAAGTTTCAAACAGCATTTCTGCATACTTCTCTCGGTTGGTATGAGGGCTCAGGGGGGGATCTGAAACCAATACTGCATGATCTTCTGGGGAAATCTTCATCTCATTTTGGAAGAGATATTCCCATATGTCCTGCACTGTATCCCAGTCTAAGATGATCCCATGTCGAAGAGGATTGATTAGCTTCAGACGTATCTCAGGATTGAGTAACTCTTGCCCCACAAAGGTCTCTTTTCGATTATCTCCAGTTTTGGCTGTCTTCATGTAGGGCTTGCCAACTGTTGTAGAGATCCTGTGGGTGGGCTTTGGCAGACCAGCAAAGCCACATTTACAGTAGCCAGTGCCTAGGTCCACGACCACTGCTGTGGTTACATCATGCTTGGACCTGTCCTTGGCTACTGTGACTTTAGTAGAGTTTTCTCGCTTCGAATTATTGTGGCGGACCCACACTGCCCTCTTGGCCGGGCCCTCCTTCAAGGAGGCAGTCTGGAGGGCCTGTGTCTGGAGGGCCTGTGTCTGGAGGGCCACCTGTTCACTCACTTTTGTGGCAGGTCCATCCCCTATGATTGACACTGGTGAAGCCCACATGCTGTCAAGAGCCATCCTGCTCTCAGACAGCTCCTCAATCCCACCAGCTTCAGGAACTGAAAGGCTTATATTAGGGAGTAACTTCAGAATCTCCCCAAAGATGACATCAGTGATTGTGACATAATCCAGAGATCCAGGACTTTCCAGATCACAGGAAACTTTGTCCTGGGTGAGGGTGAATTTGGGAATATTGTTTGTGAACAGGCTCTTCTTTTTCTAAATGTTTCCATAAACTTGATCCACTCAGTTAATCAGTATGTACTGAGTGCCTGCAATATGCAAAGCGCCTGGGAATATACAGTGACAAAAAAATAAGAGCAAAATTGTTTTGTTCTTGTAGAGCTTATATTCCTAAACAGAAGGGACTGGGCATGAAGGGAGACAGACAAGAATGAAGATAAGTCCATATTAGAAGATGTTGAGAGCTAAAGAGAAAAAAGCAGAAAAGAGGGCTAGGGAGAGTGGTGATGTAGTGTAGCCTGCATTGGGGTCCCTGAGGACCTGAAGGTGTGAGCAAGGACTCTACTATCACCAGGAGTGATGATATGATATGATTATTTACATAAAGTTTGCCAACTGATAATTTAAAAAAACACCAAAAACTCAAACCATTGTGACAGACTGAGAGGGTGAGGAAGAGTGTAAATTCATAGACCATTGCAAGGACTTTGGAAAGTACTAGAGGATTTGAAGCAGAGAACCAATCAACCTGATTTCTATTATAACGGGTTCACTTGCCTTGATAATGAGAATGCTACTGTGCTGTGCCCTTGCTACTTGGTTTGATCCTTATTCAGTAGTTGTTTTGGGGTTTTTTTTTTCTTGCGTATGATCAAGTTTGACCCCAGTGGCACAGGAGGAGATTGCCACTCCTTTTCCAGCAGAGCATCTTATGGATTTGAACTGTGTGCCTTCAGGATTGCAGTGCAGGTTCTTGCTGGTTTGTTGTTTTTTGTTTGTTTGTTTTAAGAAAAGATAAAATCCACATTTATTTTCTTAACATCAGCAGAGTTTACTTTTTCCTTACGACCTTTTTATAATTTACATGACCCAAGTAATACTAATTCCTTCTCACACACTCAACATGTCCAAATAATGGTACTCAATTCAGTAACATTGCAGGAGACACCCCTTTAAGGCGATTTCTTATGTTTTTATTCTTCCTACTACTATAGACAACTATCTTACATCAAATCCAGGTCACTTAATAACTATTAGCTATCAAAGAAAGGGCAAAAAACTACCTTTTTAAAAAAATTTTTATTTTATTATTTTTCTATGCGTGTACCATCAAACCAGATCTGACTGGTACAGGAGGAGATTGTCCCTCCTTCCCCGGCAGAGCATCTGGTGGATTTGAACCGTGCGCCTCTGGGATTGTAGTTGCAGCTCCTTACCACTAGGCCACCAGAGCTCCCCTAAAAACTACCTTTTTAAGGTCACATGCTCAACTGATTTTTCCAATTTACCTTCTGGCTACCAGTTTTTACTTTTTGCAATTATGGGTTTATTAAGTTGTTGTTGTTATGTGCCGTCAAGTCGTTTCCAACTCATAGCGACCCTATGCACAACAGCCCTAAACCCTGCTCTATCCTGCGCCAACCGCACTGCCTCTGACACACCCATCCTGATTACCCCAGTCACTGAATCGATCCATCTATCTCATAGAGGGTCTTCCCCTCCTGAGCTGTCCCTCCACCCTCCCAAGCATGATGTCCCTCTCCAAGGACCCGTCCCTCCTGGCAACATGTCCAAAGTATGTCAGACGAAGCCCCAGAATCCTTGCCTCCAAGGAGTAGCTTGGTTTTATCCTCTCCAAGATAAATCTGTTTGTTTTCCTGGCAGTCCATGGTACATTCAGTACCCTTCTCCAGCACCACAGCTCAAAAGCATCCACTCTCCTTCTGTCCTCCCTAGTCATTGTCCAACTCTCTGATGCATAACAAGCGATTGCAAATACCATGGCCTGTATCAGGCGCACCTTAGTCTCCAGAGAGACACTGTTGCTCCTGAGTACCTTTGAGAGGTCCCTAACAGCAGACTTTCCCATCGCGATACGCTTTTTGATTTCCTGACTGCTGGTGCCAAGAGTGCTGACTGTGGAGCCAAGCAAACTGAAGCTGTGAACACTCTCAATCTCTTCGTCATCCATCCTGACACTGCCAATTTTGTGTTTATTAAGAACTTTTTTAAATCTCTTTACCCTGTCTATAAACTTTATAGAACAGCAAATGGCATATTCATTACAGGTCCTCAAGTACGTTGAATGAGTTTTGCAGAACAAATAGCAAAGAGGTCTGTGTGAAATGAAATGATGCACCTGGATTTTGTGTGTGATGTGGAGTTGCCTACCACATTCACTGTTGTGTTTTTAACTTAAAAACACACACACAATACCATTTTAGTCCTACACAAGCATACAATAAGTTGCATTAATCACATTGTGTTAGGTAATCTGTTTATAAAACCTTTTTATCACCTCAACTGAAAATATATTCCCAATGAGATACAACCTGTCCCCACCTGCCTCCAGCCCATAGTAGCCATTAGTCTACATTCCGTCTCAGTATTTGTTCACTGTAGACATTTCCTATTGGGGATCACATAATATTTTTCATTTTATTATGGACATCCTGTTGTGTGATTTACTGCCTCTGAAAAACTGCTGGCGGGTCAGCTATGGGTCAATTCCAGCTTGATAGCACACAACAACAACAACAGCAAGTGTGTGTGAAGTAGTAGTTTGTTGTGTTGATTTGCATTTCCCTAACAAACTATGGCTAACATTGAGAAGAATGAGAATCTCAGAACACATAATTGTGCTCATGGGAAATCTAGACCTAGATCAAGAAGCTGTTGTCCAAATGAAGAAATACTGGATGGTTTAAAATCACGAAGGGTGTACATCAGGAATGTGTCCCCTTTCCATACTTATTGAATTTGTATGCTTAGTGCATAATTTATCAAGCTGGGCTCTGTGAAGTGGAACACAGCATCAGGATCAGAGGAAGACTCAATAATCAGGTAATACAGCCTTGCTTCTGAACGCTGTGACGCTGATGTGTCAAATGCATTAATGGTTGGCTACCCAATGTGGACAGAGAGTGGGGTGGAGCCCCCCGATTAAAACAAGCTTGGAAGGAGGAGAGGCATCCACTTCCATAATAGCTTGACTCTGGAAACCCTATGAACCTGGAGAGAGGATGAAAGGCACCCAAGTGTCGAGGACTCTCCTTCATAGGGTCGCTATGAGTCCCTTGCGACTTGACAGCTCTTAACAACAACAGCTTTGCTTGCTGAAAGTGAGGAGGACATGAAATGCTTGCTGCAGAAGGTCAAGAACTGCAGCCCACAACATCAAGAAAACAAAGATCCTCACCAAGGGACCAACAGACAAAATCATGATAGATGGAGAAAGGATTTAATCTTACTTGGACCAACAACTAACCGTCAGGAGATCGGGAGACATTCTGCACTGGGCAAGTCTGCTGTCTGGGATGTCTCCAAAATACTGAAGAGCCATGATATTAGCTTGAAGACTAAGGTGTGCCTGATTCAGGCCATGGTCTTTTCAGTTACCTTCTATGCATATGATAGCCGGGCAATGAATAAAGATGACAGAAGAATTGGTGCTTTTGAGTTGTGCTGGAGAAGAGTGCTGAGTACCTCATGGAATGCCAAAAGAACAAAGAGACCTTGGAAAAATTGCAGCCAGAGTGTTCCTTGAGGGCAAAGATGACAAAGCTCCATCTCTCATACTTTGAGCATATTGCAAAGAGAGGCTATTTCTTGGAAAGATGGAAGGTCAGCGAAAGATAGGAAGACTCCAACAAGATGAATTGACACAGTGACTGCAGCAAAGGTCTCAGGATAGGACAGGGTTCATAGGGTTGCTATTAGTCATACTTTACCCAAATGACACCTAACAACAACAACAACTAATGATATTGACATTTTTCCTTGCTCTTACTGGCCATTTGGACAAATGTCCATTCAAGGGTTTGCTTATTTAGTTATTTAGGGGTTTTTTGGCAGTGTGTGTGTATGTTGCTTTTTTTTTTTAATGGTTGTCTTTGTTCATGAGTTTCAAGAGCTGAACTGCGTTTTGATATTAAACTCTTATCATATATATGATTTCCAAATATTTTCTCCCCTTTTGGTTATATTTTCACTTTCTTGATAATGTCTTCTCATATGCAAAGTTTTTTTGATGAAAAACTCTCCTTGTTAGTCTATGTATGTGTGTGTATTGTTATGTGCCATGAAGTCAGAACCAGTTCACAGATGGCCCTCCAGCATATTTTCAGAGTCTAGTCAGACAAATCCTTCAGTATATTGAAGACTGAGAATCAGAAACAACTAGTGAATCCTAGGATTCCTTGCAGAGCAGGCACTTTGGATCTTTTTCCTCCTTCCCAAAGCTCAGCACCTATTGTATTGATAAACCAAATACCAAGGTTGTCCCCATTTCTCTTGAGGTGGAAGGGAAAGGGACAGTTTTTGAGCATGTGGACAGACTCTATTAAGGATGCAAATCTGAACCTAAATCTTTCTGCTTTCTCAGCTCTAGATCTATCAGCACCTCTAAGTCAATATGCTGAGATGAAACTGTCTTTCCCTGCATAGCTGATTCTCTTCTTGCGGTCCTTTTTCCTATCAAGGGCACAACCATTCACCAAATTCCCCAAGTTAGAACTCAGAGGCTGGAGATAGAGACAAAGTTGGTTAGGGGACATAGACCACAGTAATAAAATGCAACTAACATTAAATTCTTTGCAGAAACACAATTTAAAGATCATACAGATAAATAAGCTATAGATTTGACCCTAGCCCTTCTAAATTAAGCTTGCCCTGCCAGACTCGGGAGTTAACCCAGGACCAAGGAGTGGCTTCAACTGAATGTGATGAAAGGTTTATTACGCACAGGTAGCCAAATGTGGAGTGCTGATCATGCCAGACAACTTGACAGAATGATCTAGAGGGGACTCAGCTATTTAATGCTCAACTTCTGCAGTTTCATGACACTACCAATGGAGGTTGTAGGTTATAAATTTATCCACATAGTCCAGTTCATAGCGCCATGTTTTGAGAAACAATTTAGAAAAAAAAATCCAGAGTTTTTATTCGCATTCTTACATGGTCCATAGCAATATTTCTTAACTACACCCCTCTTTTTGTTCCTATGTACGTCCTCTATCCCTCCACCCCAGATGTTTCTCTTCTAATTTTGCTCTTAATTCTTTATCATCATAATGGTAATCTGTCCTTGGAGGGATGGGAAGGGGGGAAAGGAACAGTTTCCGATGGAGATTCCTTTGGGAATCTAACAGATTTGCTCCTGGATGGCCATGATTTGGTTTCAGGGGTTTCTGTTCCCTCCCCTTCTGTCCCTACTCCAAATTCTTGTCCACGTTACACCTTTTTCTCCTCTGCTTCTCGGCCAAGAAAGGCAATAAATATTTTTCAGACTCCTCTTTATAGTAAACAAGGCACTGTACCAGGCCACTCACATTTGCAATTTCGGAGAATTCCGGGAAGTAGGCCAAAATGAGAGAATTGAGGCTCAGAATGAAACAACTTGACCAAATAATACATAGCTGTGAAGTGTTTATACTGGTATTTAAAACCAAAGTTTGTCCACCTACACTAGTAGCCCTGAAGTACCTCGGCAGCACCTCCTCTCTACATTTTCTGGAGACAGAGATCCTGAGCACAGTGGTACCCGTTCAAAGTGGGCAGGAGAGAGAATGCACGCAGGTAAGTTTGGGGTTTTTTGTTTGTTTTCCATTCATTCCTTGTTGCAATTTTCTCCCTGCCCACCCCTCCCCCTCCCCCCAGTTCGCTCTTATTTTTGAAAAGTAAAAGAAAACTTTTTTCATTGACACAGGTAAGTTTTTAAAAACTGTTGTCTCACTGCAACCCCAGGGGTATGCGGTTCGAATCCACCAGATGCTCTCCTGGAGAGGGAGGGACAATCTCCTGTACCAGTCAGATCCGATTTGATGGTGTACACACACACACAAATAAAAAACAAAACCAAAAAACTTGTCTACTGTTTGATAGGGAGCAACCCAAGTGCAGGCGGGGTGGGGGCGGGGGGTGATGCTGGAGAACACAGCACAGGTCTTCCCCCAGCTACCGGAATGGACCAGGCCCCGTGACATCATAGTCTGAGCAGTTGCCAAGGCCCTGGTGGGGGTAAGCATTTCTCCCAACGGAGCTGTAGGATGTGGATGTGAGGAGGGGAACAAATGGCGACCAAGAACAGCCCTAGTAGCCCCATGCCTATGGACGCAGCCCGGGGGGACCCTGGGGAGGCGGCAGCCCTGCCGGGCTCTAATGCTGCCATCCGGGACGCGGGCTCGGCCACCCAGCTGAAGGTGAAGGCCAAGAAGGTGCGCAAGATCAAGGCGCTCATCATCGACCTGGGCTCCCAGTACTGCAAGTGCGGCTACGGGGGCGAGCCGCGGCCCACCTACTTCATCTCGTCCACTGTGGGCAAGCTCTGCCCCGAGGCCGCCCAGGCCGGCGACACCTGCAAGCAGACCTACGTGGGCCACGAGCTGCTCAACACCGAGGTGCCCCTGAAGCTGGTGAACCCGCTGCAGCGCGGCGTGGTGACCGACTGGGACAGCGTGCAGAGCATCTGGGAGTACGTGTTCCACACGGCCATGAAGATCGCGCCCGAGGAGCACGCCGTGCTGCTCTCCGACCCTCCGCTCAGCCCGGTCTGCCACCGGGAGAAGTACGCCGAGCTGCTGTTCGAGGCCTTCGCCATCCCCGCCATGCACGTGACCTCGCAGTCGCTGCTGTCCATCTACTCGTATGGCAAGACCTCGGGGCTGGTGGTGGAGAGCGGCCACGGCGTGTCGCACGTAGTGCCCGTCTCGGACGGCGACGTGCTGCCCGGCCTGACCCTGCGCGCCGACTACGCGGGCGCCGACCTCACCGCCTACCTGATGCAGCTGCTCAACGAGGCCGGACACAAGTTCACGGAGGACCACCTGCACATCATCGAGCACATCAAGAAGAAGTGCTGCTACTCGGCCCTGCTCCCCGAGGAGGAGCTGCAGCTGCCCCAGGAGGAGCAGCGTGTGGACTACGAGCTCCCGGACGGCAAGCTCATCAGCATCGGCCAGGAGCGCTTCCGGTGCTCGGAGATGCTCTTCCGGCCCTCCCTGGTGGGCTGCGGCCAGCCTGGCCTGCCCGCGCTCACCGCCGCCTGCCTGAGCCAGTGCCAGGAGGCCGGCTTCCGGGAGGAGATGGCCGCCAACGTGCTGCTGTGCGGCGGCTGCACCATGCTCGACGGCTTCCCCGAGCGCTTCCAGAGGGATCTGAACCTCCTCTGCCCCGGCGACAACCTCACCGTGTCGGCGGCTCCCGAGAGGAAGACCTCGGTGTGGACCGGAGGCTCCATCCTGGCCTCCCTGCAGGCCTTCCAGCAGCTCTGGGTCAGTAAGGAGGAGTTCCTGGAGCGAGGCAGCGCCGCCATCTACAGCAAGTGCTGAGCCAAAGGCCACAGTACACCGATACATTTACAGAATTTCAAATAAAACTTTTAACTGGCATTGGTTCTTGACTGGTCTGCATTTCTTGCTCTCGTCTGAAAGCACAGGGCACGGGACAGTTGGCTTTAGAAGTACCCACACTCTTGCCAGGGTGAGAGTGGGGCACACTGATCCCTCCTCCTTTCACTGCTCCTTTGAGGTGACCCCATAGCAAAGAGAAGTATGGCGCACTGATCTATTAACTGCTCAGGACTCAAAACCAAATTCAACAGCCATTCCATCTTGCTCATTGGACAAAAGAAGAGATGAAGACACATCAGTGGACCATAATAGGGTTAATTCAGTGACCTCAACGAGAAGTGTGATTTCAGTCTCCTGGATCAGGTCCTGCTATGATCACCTCAGGCTCCCTCTATGTTATAACTCGTCCCTTTCACTGGGGCAGTCCATAGGGTTGACAATGTGTGAAAGATCATTTCTCTCCATCAGTACCCCTTCTCCCTTTGACCCAGGTAAAAACTGCAGCTTATTTTCAAGTCACAAGGCAGGTTAGGTGAAGCAAGAGTATATCTCCTTCCAAGAAGCGGAAATGGAGAACCAGGGAAGAGTCAGCTCACCCTCAATGATTGCACACAGGCCTCCTGACTCAGGTCATGATTCTTTCCAGAAGGACAAACACGATTTTTAACAGTCAACAGCCCGAAGCACTTAGCATGTGTCTGCTATGGGCAAAATTGTTGCTGGAAACCAAAAATGACCAGAAAATGCTCTCTCCTCTTGCAATTACCTATAAAGCACATATAAATGGGGCACTTAGTGGACAGCCACACTGGTAGAGGACTTCAACTCAGGGTTCCTGATGGTGGGAGAGAAAGGTGTTGTACTGGAAAGATGATAGATATGAAGCTGAAGAATCTGTTGAGGTGTCACATTCTGCTTTATTACAGAAGCTACAGAGGATCTCTGTGTCCTTTGGTATGTCTGCCAGGATTTTTATCAGCCACACGAGGGTCTGCATCTGCAACTCAGCGGAGAGGATCATGGGGGCCGTGTCTTGTTCATCTCTGCATTCCCAGTGCAGGCGCCCAAAAGAATGTGTGCTGAATTGTTGCTCTTTCTCAGCCTAATGTTCTTTCTTTCTCAAACTCTGCAGGATTGCTAGGCATTGATTCCCAGTCCTTCAACCCTACTTGTGTGACAGAATTACCTAGAGAACTTAAAAAAAAAAGAAAAACCCAACACCAAAACACCAAACAAACCAGTTCCCATACTCTGATGGCTACATTGGTCTCTCTGGGGTGGTGTGAAATGCTGTTGAGGTTGAAAAGCTGTACATCATCTCAAGCTGATGTACAGCTTAGGAGTCACTGCCCTGAGGACATCTCAGAGCCTAGTCTTATTTTCACAGCCAGAGATGCCAAAGAGCCAATCAGGCAGCACTCGACCTACAAAAATGTTCACTTCCTGAAATGGAAATTGAAAATGTTCCCTTCAGAGTTTTTGTTCATAGAGTTGCTGTGAGTCATACTCAACTCGATAGCACCTAACAACAGCAGGCATTGGTGAACTGAGATGGCTTAGAGGGCCACTTTAAATAAGTAAATGATCTACACTGAGAATGGAAAAGTGAGGAAAAATAGGTTGCATTCATAGTAAAAAAGACCATTTCTAGATCCATCCTGAAGCACAAAGTTGTGAGTGATGGATGGATACACATTGGATATGCATATGAGGAAGTCAATACCACTAACATTCAAATATATGCACCAGCTAAAGAAGAGGAAATAGAAGATATCTACTAACTTTTGCAGTCTGAAATAGAAATCGATTGAACATGCAACCAAGATTCATTAATAATCATTGCTAACTGGAATGCAAAAGTTGGAAACAAGCAAGAAGGGTCAGTAGTGGGGAAATATGGAGTTGGGAAGAGAAATGAAGCTGGAGATAAGAATGATTAAATTTTGTATAACCAATGATTTATTCATTACATATACCTTTTATAAAAACACAAATAACATGCACATCACCTGATAGAATACAAAGGAATCAGCTTGGTTACATCTGTGTAAAGAATTGTTGGAGAAGCTCAAAATCAGCTGTAAAAATGAGGCCAGGTTCTGACTGTGGAACAGATCAGCTGCTACCCAGGTGCAAATTCAAATTGAAGCTGAAGAAAATGAAAACAAATCCACAAGAACCAAAATATATATGACCTTGAATCTATTCCACCTGAATTTTAAAACCACCTCAAGAACAAAGTTTGAGACTACACCTTAGACCAGTTAAATAACTATATAATATATATTCCCCCTCCTTTTCCAGGAGGTTACAATATGCAGCACAGTTTGAGACCAAGTTGACCATCAACTAGAGCACAGGCAGGATAGGAGACAGTGGAGAGCTTTGGGATCATACAGATCAACTCCCAGTCTAGTCATGTCTTCTTTTTTTTTTCACCAAGAGAACAAACAGGTTTGTCCTGTAGAGGGTGAAACCCGATTGCTCCTTGGAGGCAAGGATTTTTTTTTATTAGTTTTAATGAACATTTACAGAGATTTTGGGGTTTCATTCATTCATTGTTGCACTATTTTCTCTACCCTCCTCCCCAGTTTGTTCTTCTTTTCCCCCTCCCCGAAAGTCGGTTTTAATTGTCCAATTGCCACAGTGCTTGTCAAAGCCAGTTCTGCTTAATCTCCTTTGTCAGTGTGTCC